GTGCGGCTTGTTGTACACAATTACATATAATGTCCCACAATTTGTTCAGTGTATTTTCATTATGTCCGTGGGTTTCTATGTATCTAAAGGCCTTGTGTTTTTCCAGAAGGATCTTAAGGTAATTCTCATATGCATTCCACTGTTCGTTGGTGGTATTTTCATAATCATATACGATGCGTGTTGAGCTTTTTTCCGCTCTTCTGCCTCCTTTATTGTTAGTGACTATTATACTGGTGAACGAGATTTCTGCAAGTATAATGTTGTGATCACTGTCTGTAATGTCAACCGATTGATATATGTGGCTTTTTTTAATGTTAGCTTCGAGCTTGGGGTCTGCCCAAATGTAATCAATTCTGGTTGATGTATTCTTATTTTTCCATGTGAAACATCTTTTTTTGGGATTTAGTTTCCTATATGTGTCCGTAAAGAAGGCATTGTCTAGCCATGTAATAATATTTGAAGGTCTTTTTCTGAGTTTGGATAAGCCACTATAATCTAATGTTTTATCCATGTATGAATTGAGATCTCCTATCAAAACGTAATACCTGTTTTTCTTGCTGTGATTAGTGAATTCTTTTTTAATGTAGTTTGTGAGCTCGTTTTGTTTTTTTGTGTCTGATGGTGGTAAATAAATTACACCTATTATGAGCGTGCAATTCTTAAAGAACAACTAAGCTTCTATATAGTATGCACCCAATCTTCTAATTTTTCCAATGTGTTTTTCCCATTTCTTATTGATCATTATGCACACTCCTGATCCTTTTATCTTATTGTCTTTATTAGTCCAGAAAGAGGTGTATACTAAGCTTTGCTTATTCCAATATTCACCGTGTTTTCTATCTCTGTTTGTTTCACATATACCTATTATGTCTGCTCCCTTGTTTGAGCAATATTCCGTTAGTAAGTTAAGTTTGGAATGATCTGGGCCCAGCCCATTAATGTTATATCCCATAAACGTTAAATTGAATGTGTTGTTAATCTCCGCGTTGTTGTTGTTGTTATATACATTTGCATTTAGTTGTGTATAGTTAGTCTTTGCCTGTTGTGTACGCGTCTTGTTGTTGTCCTGATTGTCATTTGATTGTGTATAATTAGTCTTTGTCTGTTGTGTACGTGTCTTGTTGTTATCCTGATTGTCATTTGGGAAAGTTTTGGGAGTTGTTCAAGTTCTCTCTCTTCCAATTCTAATTTACTTGCAGTTTCTGTTTCTTTGTTAATTGACGTTAACGCAGTAAGTTTTTGTTTAGACCAGCTGAACAAATTCTTTATTGTTTTAAATGGCATTATTCTTCTTTTCGTAATTATTCTTATTACCAATTTTTCAGATCAGAAGCCAAGATATTTGTATTTACATTATAGTAATAATTATTATAATGCAATTATTTTGACTTCTAGTGATCCAATTTTAATAAACTTTTTTTTAATTTATAGCTCTCATTTAGTTCTATAAATCTAGCTTTACAAAACAAAAAAATGTTTGTTCAAATTGAATCACTAGAAGCCAAGATAATTATATAATACTAATTATTATATATAATATTTAATATTCAATAGTAATAATTTTTTTAGCCAATCAGATTTCAATCAGGTAGAGGTGGGGGGTTAAGGCTACTAATTGAGAGAAATCAGCTGATTTCTGGCACGTTCCTAATGTAATTTCTTAAAGGTCTGACATTATCTAATCAGTGTACAGTAATACTAAGACCAAATCACAATTTCGATTACTTTAACAAGAAATCGGAAATGATTTGCAATACCATGATCAGCACTACGCTTAAAAATCAAAATTACATAATTTTTTGCACTTCCAATCTTCCATAATCAGTGATTACATGATAACTTTCGGTTAGTTAGTATACATACTATAGATGGACATATTCATGTATATAAAATTAGATTTATTTTTTTGATGTATTGCAAAAATTTATTAAAAAAGTGAAACTAGCAAGTGAAACATATGATGCTATCAGAGAAGAAGGGAGTATACAGATCTTAGACCATTTAATACGAGTCCCAGCATCAAGTTATTTCTTTGCTCTCTTACATTTACGAAAAGTATCTATAACTAATTTGTTTATACTTCTATTGCTAATTATATAATTCTCACCCTACAGCCTTTTATTATACTAAATTTCTGAAATAAATTATCCCACCAATATTTACAGTAATTTTATCTATCTATATCTTTCCTAAATACATTACTAGGACAAAAGTAGCAGACCTTATATTTATGTTAATCACTCAAAATCGTATATAATAACAATACTTAAAATTTTAATATGTAAGAATATAGATTTTAAAGAATATATGTTTAAAATTTCATAGTTCTAGCTTTCATATAACTATATTAAAATTAAAAAGAAATTTTAATAATTATTATGCCTATACATATAAATTAAACAAATAGTACAAATAGTTCAATACATTGCCAGTTTATTTAAAATCATACATAATAATGATGCCTGAAATTTTAAATATATGTTAGTACAGATTTCTAATTAATATATATTCTTTGCTAGTTTTGATTTTATATGGATTATAACAAAAAAAAAGTTTTTATAAAATTAAATATATATAATATATATATAAAGTCTTTGCAATAGAAAGGTACGAACTCAAAAAATATCAAAAATTGAATTAATATCAAATTTACATTTATTTCAGTAAAAAAAATATAATTAGCATATAAAGTAAAATTAAATTTTTTTTTGAATTTCGTACCTTTCTATTGTAAAGACCTTATATATACTACTATACTTTTCGTCAAAATGACAAAATACTAATTAAATTTATTTTGACAGACGTAATTAATTCATAGTAATTTTATAATAAATAGTGAATTGGTCCGTTCGTCAAAATATAACGTAATTACTAGCGAATTAAATTTCAAAGTAATAGAAAGGAAAAGGTATTTTTTTTTTAATTTTTTTTATTTAATTGTTTTTAGAAATACCTGCTGATATTTCTTTCTTCTTATTTAAATCACCAGAAATTGTATGAATTGAATTTTAAGATAATTGAAAGGAAAAGGGTATTTTTTTTTTTGTTTAATTGCTTTTAAAAATATCTATTAATGTTTTTTTCTTTTTTTTTTAGATTAAAATTTAAACAAATTAGACTTTAAGGTAATTGGAAGAAGAAAAATGTTTTTTTTTATTTAATTATTTTTAGAAATATATATTGATATTTCTTTTTTTTTTGAATATTAGCACTTAAAATAAACTTGACTTTAAGGTATTAAATCGGAAGTGAAAAGGTATTCTTATTTAATTGCTTTTAGAAATATCTACTAATATTTCTTTATTTGTAATAAAATTTTTAAAATTAATAATTATTTATTTATTAGATTCATTGGATTGAACGGATTGTATAGATTTAATGAAAATCTGATAATTAATTTTTTCATTAAATTTATTAAATATCTAATCAACTATTATCTCTTAAACTGTAAAGGTTAAAATTAATTTTAAAAATTTTTGAATTTTTAAAATATCTTAAGATCTAGTGATTATAGAAAGATGAAATTATATTTATTAGATGCATTTAATGGTAATAAAATCATGACTTTAAAATTGATAAATAAAAAGTTATATTAATTTATAAATTTTTAGATTTTATAAGTTATCCTGTCACATAATATTTGTAGAAGGACAATTTTATTTCTATCAGATTCTTCTCATTAAGACATATCAAATGGTAGTAATTTTATATTTCTAAAGTTAATGGATAAAAAAATATTTCAATATAAAAAATTTAGCTACTATTTGTTATAATTTGTCAATCATTTACTTTTAAAAAATTATTAATCAAATTGAACTTTTTTTTTGATTTTTACTTAAAAAATACTATAGAATTTATTACAAAAATATTGGTTTATGTAATAAAATATTTTAAGATATTTAAGTGTCTTTAATTAAAAAATAAAATTGCAGGCAAATTTAGCTGCAAAACAGTTTAAGGGATACTAAAAATATTTTTGTAATATTAATTTAATGTTAAAATAATATTATTATGATACAGTTACAATATAAATAAATGTAAAACATTTTTGTAATATTGATCCAATATTAATATGATAAAATATCAAATAAATATAAAACATTTTTATAATTTTAATTTGATATTAATATGATATTTTTATGGTTATAAGAGGATATTTACATTATATAATAATCACAGAAATATCAAACTAATCAATAATTAATATCAAATAAATGCAATTACAATTAACTTAACTATACCAATTTGATATTTTATTAAAATATCACAATGATATTGTAATAACATTATCAATATATATCAATTGTAACTTCAAGTTTTAACAAAGAATATGACTGTTATATTTATTATTTGTTAATCTAAATATTTAAATAATTTATTCAAATATAATTCAGATAATTCAATTATTATCTAAAGATCTTAAATTATTTAAATATTTAAATATTTTATAGGATAATCCAATTTAAATAATTATAATATTTTTTTAATACTTTTTTATTTTTTTTTATTAAATTTGATGAGTAACAGTAATAATAACAAAAAAAAAACAATTAGTTTAACTAATTATTTTATTATAATTATTTGAAATTAATAAATTATAATTTTATTATTTTTAAATAACTCATAAAATTTCACATTAAAATTTTCTAATTCAAATTTATTTATTAAAATATTAAAATGCATTATTTAAAATTTTAAAGTTTTTGAATTATTTTCAGTTAATAGAAATGTAGAAATGCCATATGCCTATATTTATATTATCAAATAACACATCATGTTCTTGATAGAATATTGCCATTAACAGTCTTATCTTAGGAATAATATCCTTTCCTAACTTTAAGAAATTGAAGATTTTGAAACTTCTATTTAAATGTATGAATAATACTTATTCTAATAATTGTTCTAATCTAATAAATGTTATACCTTCTATATCTCAATAACTTAAGTATCTATAAATGCATAAAATGTGAATCCATTTGATTTCTCACTTAATATAGATGAATAAAGTTCAGCAAAATAAAAAATCAATTTTTTTTTTTGCCTATTCATTAAAAGGTATTATTATTAAAGTCTGATAGTTTTTTTTTGTCATAAATTAAGTGAGAAATCTAAATAGTCTATACAAGTATTAAAATTTTCTCATAACTATACAACTATAAATTTTTTTTGTTATTATTCTTAACCTTATCCACATAGCCCAAACATTTAGAAACACATTGACTGTCAATCAGTTGAAATTCGAGAATATTGAGTAAATGAAACGCAAATTCATTTCTCAAGTCCAACGATATGATTTGATCGGCACGCGCCTTGGAAAATTGAAAACAAACTTCCGGAAGGTTACGATCAGCAAGGCCCCTAAAAAGAATAATAAAATCAGTTTATATATGCAACAATGCAATAATATTCTTTAGAAAAAATATCATACTTTTGTGGTTCTATGAATCTATTCCACATTTTCATCATTAATTTTTCTTTATCATTAACGTCTGGTATCTCATCAAGGGTCTGCAATTATAATATATAAGTATTAGTTTAAAAAGTAAAAGTTACAAAGAAGAAAAGTAATAACCTCGTCATTATATTGTTCCACCCAATGAGTACAAATATCGTCCTCAGAATCATCCACATCGTCATCAACATGGTATGGCATGAAAGTTTGAGAATTATAAAAAGTTAATGAAGGCATTGATGATAATGCCACTGGCGGCGTTGTATATTGCTTTACAGGATACACAAATGGCTTTGGGTTCCATGTACCTTCACGCTTATCAATATCAAAGAAATCTAGTTCTGACAAATCATCGTTTGAACTAACGACAATTATGCGATCACTTGGTGCTTGTTTGCCATTCTAACAGAAAAAAAAATTAGATACTTCTCCGTGAAAATATACATATATACTATATAATTGCATTCATATTAACTGTAATACCTTTGTATTAAACTTTAGATGCATATGGTTATTACGAAGATGAAACATTAAACATGCACTATCCCTGAAACTAAGATTAGTACACCATGGGCAACGAAATCCTTTCATTGCTTGATGCAATTCACAATCAGCGACACGATAAACGTAAGTTACTAGCGGATCATCACTTGGAGCAGTAACAGATATGGATGGTCTTGAACTCATGGGTTTTAAAGGAAGATTTACTTTATGCTTCCAATTAACCGTAAAACGCATTTTCCAATTTGACTCTATTATTGAACATTGTTCACGTGCAAAACTAAGATCAAGCTCATATCGTCTATCTTTACAAAAATTTCCGTTCTCTATCACACCCATCTGAACACATAAAATTCGGCGACCATCAGAACAATCAACAAGTTTTGGTATTAAATGAAGTTTTCTCTTTTCACCGTTAATTATTGTCCTTACAGACTCCGCACTAACAGGAGGCCATGATTGGCTATTGAGTGCATATAAACGAAATCCTAGAATTACATCTTGAGAAGTAACGCCATTAATATTCGTTGTATAAGGTTCTATGGACAAAGTATTCCCCATTGAACAACCATTTTCATCTAACACTAAAGGAATAGTTGATCGGTGAGTTAATTGAAAATCATTCGATTCAAACTTTCCATTGTTCAATTTGCGTTTTTTCGCAATATTGCTTGACGATTTTTTCTGAGTTACGCGGTAATATAACAAGTGACATTAATTATCAATAGATATCCTTAAAAAAAAAGATGCAATAACATTATATAACAAACCCTTACAACTTCAAAAACAGTGATTTCACATTCAATATTGATACGTGATCTGTTTCCTGGTGAATGGCTTGCTGATCTCATAAAAATTCAGATAAATTAATTATAAGATCTTTAAGTATTTTAAGTATGATGAATGTATAAATATTTTCAGTAAAATTCATACCGTAAGCAACTAACCCTTGAAAAGTAAGTTGAAGGGTTCGATGAATTCGACTAATTAAATTTAATTGTTATAAAAAAAAAAATGATTAACAATGAAATTACCAAAAAAAAAAAAAAAAAAAANCAAGTGAGGTTACTAAAGTTTTTTTTCAAATAACTTCGAAGACTACCACCATCGGCGTATTCCATCACTAATAAATAATTATGATTATTTTCTAAAAAAAAAAAAAAAAAAAATCATTAAAATGAAATTTATAAACCTGGTGGAAATTGTCTCTTCTTCCTGTTTACGACGTCTACACAAGTCTTCAAGTGTAAGACGTTGTTCCTGTTGTTTAGGCTTGTTTTTTATAGTTTTTCTACGAGATTTTTGAATGTATGACAAATTTCTTCTAAGGTAATTTCTCTTTCATTCAAAAGATTGTTATATGAATAAAAGATTGTACATGTAGAATTAAAAGATAAAAATCATCAAATTATAACTTACTGGTCTATAGCTATTAAGCCAATGGTATAAGCATGATGGCCCTAAAGTTTAATAAAGGTTAAATGATAACCTAGCAATTCAAAAGTGAATAATGTAATCGCGTAACATCTTACCAGTAAAAGTCTCCCGAAACAGACTAGAAACTCTATTTTGGTCAACAATACTCTTAATAGCCCTATTCACCATGACTTATAGCACTAATGTTCCAATTCCCAAAAAACAGAAACTGACAAAGGACGAGTTCCCCAAATATTTGAATTTTGATCAACGCTCTTATTTATACGAAACTTTTGTTTATAATCACGTGAAGATTACGGCATAAAATAGACCAATCGGAAAATTTTACCTTATCCAAATTTGGCATATTGACTATTTTACAAAGTTCTCTTCAACATAATTGGTTAACAAGTTTGTTCATTCATTACACTCATCGAAAAGAAATTCTTGATTTCTTTAACATAATTAAGTGAAAAATACGTATATTTATTCATTGTAACTAAAAAAAACGCGTTTTTACATGTTCTACACCTTATTAATTAAATTTAAGTTAAAGGTCACTTATTAAATAACTTGATAAATAAGAGGATACGAATTGATCTAATTTATACAAAATCATATATAAAATCGCATAGAATTACATAAATATTAATAAATTACTATCAAATTTCTATTTTAAAAAGTTTTTTGTCGTGATGTAAGATAATATGAATCAGGTAAAATAAGGGAGCTTGACCCAAATTACGTAGGGTTGACATGATGTACCCTACCCTCTTGATACGAATTTGCCGCAGCAGTTATATTTGCACATCGAGGGACACACCCCCAACACCCTATTGAAATTACTAAATTTGGGGTGGCTACCCTAATTAGTACTTCCAAATAGGTAGTTAAGTGTTAACATAAAAAAAAAGGTTAATTAAAAAAGATTTTATTTGAAGGTTTTGCTCAAAAGGTATTTACCAAGAAAATATTGTATTGGAAAGTAGTTTTAGCCAAAAAAATTTACTGAAAGTCTAGACGCAAATCCATCGGATAGACCAAATGCAAATAAATGCAATGGATAATTCAAAATATTTTTTAATTTGATATATACATATACTGTATAAAATAGTATAGAGAATCAAACAGAATCAATTAAAACAGAAATAGTTAAACAATTTGAAGAAACAGAAAAAAAACCAATAATAATATATCAGCCGCTAATAAATTAGTGATATTTATCCTCCTCTCATCTTTGTTATCGATGATTTTAACACCACAATATATATATAATTTTTTTTTCTTATGAATTTTCGATTCAAACCAATTTGGATGTATCGCTAATATTTACAACAATTATATATTGTGTCTGAAGCAATGCACATCACATGATTTAACCATAGTAAATGAAAATTGTACTTTTTTTTCTACAATTTAGATTTAATTTTTTCAATAGATGTTCTAATTTTTTCGGCTCTTCTCAATTCCAATCTTCCAATTTGTTGTATATGTACTTCATCTGGACCATCTGCAAATCTTAATGTGCGTCCCGCAGCATACATAGAGGCAAGTGGAAAATCTTCACTTAAACCACCAGCACCGTGAGCTTGAATTGAACGATCAAGAACTTCTAGTAACATAGATGGTATTATGGCCTATTATTTATCCAAAAAGAGTTAATATAATTCTGAATAAAACAACCATTACCGAGACAACAAATACCTTTGCCATTCCAATTTCTTTCAAAGCGTTCTTTGCGCCTACTTTATCGATCATATCCGCGGCATTAAGGACAAGGAATCTAGCCTGATCAATAATCATACGTGATTTTGCAATATCAGAAACAATGGTTCCATGCTCCGCCAAAAGTTTTCCAAAAGTGCGGCGGGAAGGATCCGTAACACGAACAAGCATTAGATCAAGGCCACGTTCGGCTGCCCCAATTGATCTCATACTAATAGAACAGAAACAATTAAGTCACAAATTTTAATTAAAGTAAAACTATATAAATTCATAATTTAATACCAATGATGAATTCTGCCAGGACCCAATCTCCCTTGAATAACTTCAAAGCCTCTTCCTTCACCTAAAATAATATTCTCAACTGGTACTCTGACATCTTTAAATATAATCTCGCAATGTCCTTCGGGAGCATCATCATAACCGAAAACTGTAAGAGGTCTAACAATAGTTATTCCAGGTGTATCTCTTGGAACTATTATCAAACTTTGTTGCTTATGTTTACTCTTATTTTTGGGATCAGATTTACCCATAACAAGAAATACTGCACATCTAGGATCACCAGCTCCAGAAATCCACCATTTGTGCCCATTAATAACATATTCATTATTAACACGAATAATTGAAGTTGCGATATTTGTCGCATCTGATGAAGCAATATTCTTTTCAGTCATTGCAAATGCTGAACGAATTTCACCATTTAATAATGGAGTTAACCATTTTGCTTTTTGTGCAGGTGTTCCATATTTTGCAAATACTTCCATATTTCCAGTATCGGGAGCCGAACAATTTATTGCCTAATAATGAAAATGTTAATAGAAAAATTACTGAGAAATCTTCAAGTTCAAAATACGGAGATATACCTCTGGAGCAATACGGAGTGATCTACCGGTAATTTCGGCCATGAGAGCATATTCGAGATTGGTTAATCCAGCTCCTTCACGATAATGCTTAGAAAGAAATAGATTCCAAAGTCCTAGTGATCGAGCTTTCTTTTTAAGCTCTTCGATAATTGGTGGAACGATCTGTAAAATCACATGATTATAAGTGAATTTAATAATATATGGGAATTTTTTAGTTTTCTCAATTAATTTACCTTCCATCGATCTTCTCCTTTACCAATTTGTTCATGAAAAATTTGTTCTACTGGAACACATTCATTCTCCATAATTTAATGAAACACTTAAATTTAGTTAATTTGACAATAAAATATTTCAAATAATTAAATATTTTGATTAAAGATGAGAAATTACCAACCTCAACAAAATTATCCAATTTTTTAATTAATTCTTTAGCACGAGAAGAAATTTTTTCTTCAACTAATAAAGGTATGGTATAAACCATGTTGACAGAGAAAATTAAACGAAGAAAAGAGGAAGATTATTACAATTAAGATAATTATTTTTTGTCGTTTATAAAAGATATGTTTCGTTAATCATTTCTATATTTAGGAACATTCTAAAATCACCAGATCGCTAAGAATTATTGAGAATATATTTATTATTTGTAATAAAATAAAATAGGATTATTATACCAACTAAATAAATACAACAAAACTTATGCGTAGTACATTTAGTATCTGTTGAATTTCACGTTGTTTTACCTGACATTTATTATTACTAATAAAATTAACTATATCTAAAAAGTTAAAATTAAGAAAATGGATATTATTATATTAAAATATTATTATAATATTTTAGTTTTAATTACTTTTACTAAAACTTTTAATATCGTCAAGATCATTTTAACGACCTCAGTTTGACATCGTAACAATATCATAATGATATCAAATGGATATTCGTAATAATAACATATCGCTACGATATATTTTTTATAATGACATTTTGATATATATTATTAAAACGAGGTTTGGTAAACAATATTATTAAGATATCATTTTTAACATTTTATGATCATTTTATATCATTTTAATATCGTATAACAAATGGTATATCTAAAATTTAATGATATTATAAGGTTTCTGTAAAGTAGAATTAATATAATTAAAATATACTGATGAAATTGATGATAATGGTAAGGGAGAAAAAGTTATTAAATTAATTTGTCCATCTTTTTTTTTTATCAGGTAAACTCAAAAAATTAAATTAATTTATCATCAGGTAAACTCATTATTATTAGAATTTCAATAAAAAAGATTCAAGTTAATAAATATATTTAACTTATATAACTTATATTAGTAGAAGTATAATATTTATTACCATTAATTTGTAAATAATCACTTATATAACATTATAATCTGTATTTATTTAATAGCTGATTATATTTAAAGATTTTAAAGAATAAATTATTCAAATTTATTCAAAATTTTTATGTTTTTTTTAAAAAATTATATATATCAAAGATTTATTATAAAATTATTGGGGTTATAAATAAAAATTTTCCTATTCAGTTCTTTTTTAGTTTCACTATTTTTATGCTTATTTTTTAAGATATATGTAAATCCCCTTAGCATTAAAGAAAATCCTTTTATTTTCAATTTAAGATTTTAAGACAGGATTGCTCATCATCTCATCATCATAATAAAATTAAGTACTGCATGCAAAGTACTGTAAATTATTGCCTGAATTAGTGATTTACAAAATTAAATTTGAAAATCACTTGACCAAATATCTAATTGTTACGCATATAAAAAAGGGTTATTTTTAAGGTCAGGAATTCCAATTTTCGATTTTTATAACACGTACAGTATTAATAATAATGTTTTTTTAAAGAATTTCTTAGTTACCTAATATTTATTTATGATGTTATCACCTTTTTTTAGTGCGAAACAAAATTTCGAAAAGTCAACATAGTAATTCTCATACTTTTTTTTAGTCATAAAAAAAAGAAATGATTAATAATAAATCCTCCGAAGATATTTCTAATGATAAGAGTTTTAATGAAAAGAATGAGGAGGGAGTTACAAAAATGTACGATTTTCAAGAGTTTGTACATTTTTTTTTTTTGTGAATCAAAATTAACCTACATATTTTATTAGCAAGAAAGAACAACCGTTTCAATACTATTTATGCTTTGATGTTGAAGCAACATGTGAAAAAGGAGGAGGGTTCGATTATAAGAATGAGATAATAGAATTTCCAATAATTTTACTTGAAGGCAATACATTTGAAATAGTATATAATTTTTAAATTATTTCCCCGTTTCTTTTTTTTAAAAAAATCCATCAAATAATAATTATAAATAAATTATATATTTAGGTAGAGATATTTCATTCATATGTTAAACCAAGTGTAAAACCAATATTATCAGATTTTTGTAAGGAATTAACTGGAATATCACAGGTAACACTTTTATGTATTGTTTTCTAATCAATTATTCATAAAATAATGATTTTAAAGACAACAATAGATGTAAGTCCATCATTTCCTGAAGTGTTGATTAAATTTCAAGAATTCCTACACAAATATCAATTATTTTATGAAAATACCTGTGCTTTTATTACTGATGGTAAAGTATTATATTGTATTTTGTAAAGAAGTAAAGTATTATATTGAATTTAATATATATTAATATAATTTTAATATAGGACCATGGGATATACGTGATTTCGTCAGAAAACAATGTACAATCTCACAAATAGATAGACCATCATATTTTTCAATTCCTTGGGTAGACATACGAGCACTTTTTTCAAAATTTTATAATTGTGAAAGAACAAATATAGATGGTATGTTAACAAGATATGGATTAGAATTTGTAGGGCATAAACATTCGGGAATTGATGATGTTAAAAATTTGACCATTATTGCCAAAAGAATGTGGGAGGATGGAGTAATTTTCAATGTCAATGATGATTTTCCAAAATGGAAAGAGAATAGAAAGTCGAAGAAAAGAAGTAGGAAATGTAAGAAAGAATAAAAGTGTTTCGTTGTTATAAACAAAAGATTATCATCTATATAGAATAAATATATTCTAATAATTATATAAATATTAATAATATATTCTATATATTACAATTAATAATAATTGGACTATAAGAATACATTCATTGTTTACATCTATAAAGTTATTGTCCAAGTCAAAAAAAAAAGAACTTTTTTTGTTTAAATGTTAATTCTTTTCATCGACCTTTAAGTAAATTTGTAATAAATTCAAAAAAATGTAACATGATTAACAAATAACATTGACATATTTAAACCTACATTGTTACACCTGAATTTAAACTTCGTTTAAATATTTCCAAAAATTTCCAAAAGTCAAAATACTTTAATCCAGGGGAAACCAAAAATATGAAACATTATGCAGGAAACACCATAAACGGAAGTACCATAAACGGAAGTTCAGTGAGTCTTGCCATTTTTGGGGTTTCCTCTCTCTTTTGATACAGGAGGAATTAAAGATGTTTGATTTTTCCAATTTCGATAATAATAATGTAATGACGTGATAATCAATTCATTACCTTAAATAAAATGCAGGAGAGAAGCGAGGAAAAGGAAAAGAAACTAACGTTTCTTAAAATAGTAACGAAACAATAAATATAAATCCGCAGAACATCCTTAAGATAATTACTATTATCTGTTCATTCTATTGTAGTCAATATAAAGAATGAAAAAAAATTTCGATACCATATTTCGTAAACAAATGGATAATATCAACAAAAAAGAAACACAATAAACCTTATTTTAGAAATAAAAAAGTTTAATAAATTATTCCTATTGGCTAAATTAAGTGACGTCAACAGTTTTGTATTACATATTAATTAATTTATTTTTTTTTTAAGAATGTTTTAAAAAAAAGAGACAAAGAGTTATCATTAATTTTTAATAATAATAATCTCTCCTCCCAAGAACCATTAAAAAATAAAAGGTTAGTGGATTCAAAACAAAGGAAAAAAACATTTCTATTAAACAAAGTTTAATTACGGATTTTCATTCGGATCGTACGGTATAATTTATTTAAATGTAACATATCTAAATTTAAACAACAATTTAGCACACGCACTACACGACATTATCTTGATTTACATTTAAGAATACAAAGAAAAAAAGTATATTATATTATGAAACACCATGTTAAATTAGTTTATGCAGGAAAAATTAGTCAATTATAAATACACCGTGAAAAAGATCGTAAAATTTTTCAAAAAAAAAAAAAAAATTAAAAATTTTTTTTTAAGAAAAAATTAAAAAAAAGTATTGAAGGGAATATTGATTTTTTTTTTTTTTTTTTTTTTTTCACTGCCCTTTTCAATTCTTAAAAATGCCAATCAAAACTTCTTCGCTCAATATTAAAGCTTTCCCATTGGAAGTTATTAACAAAGAACAAAATGAAAAAACATCGCAAATCTTATCCCCATCATCAATTTTACCTACAACAGCTCTTTTCATGTTACATATCACGACAGAAGCTGCTTTAAAATTGTCATACAAGATTAATGTGAAGCAATCAAATAATCTTATGCAAAAATCCGCATTATTTTATGATTTATCAACTCAGTATACTGATTATGCTTCTCAATCTTCTTTTAATTTAACTAATACTTCCAGTGATTTTATTAATGATTCTTCGTTAAAGGAATTGACGCAAGAAGCTGATGGTTTACCAATTTTATGTATTGAATTACCAAATATTTCTATTGAAATAATTGATAGTTTATTACAATGGTTATTTAATAATGATGAAGTCAAATTTGATGATATTTTAACTTCTACTTTGGCTTCAAATATAAAATCTACTTTGGATTTTTTTGGTTTGCTAAATTTTGCTACTTTGTTAAATTTAAATGAACCTTATTGTAGTATAATTGATGAGATTTTGGTTTGGTATTATTTTGGTTTATCTGTTCAAGAAAGAAATCAAAAAATTATAAAGAATGAATCTTTTATTAATGGAAATATTCCTGCTAGATTCGTTAAAAGATTAGCCGAATCTGTTGATGAAGTTGAAGAAAAACAAATTTTATCGAATTTTTTTAGATCTTCTGATGAAATTTCAAAAGATAATGAATGGGAAACTTTATCTCTTACAACTGGTGATATTGGTTCTAACTTGTCCGAAAATTCAAAATCTGATATTTTAGAATGGTTAAATTCTTCAAGTGTTATAACCCCAACTCCTCGTCGTGTTACTTTCTCTTTACCAAATTCTCCTTCTCCTCTTGATACTGCTGAACCTCCTACTCCATTAGGTTCTGCTTATTTTTGTATTTCTCCTCCACCAAATACTCCTTCTTCTCCAGCTTTTAAACGTATCATTCCCCGTTCTCTTCCTCGTACTCCAAAAACTACTACTTTTACAAAATCCATTATTTTACCACCTTCTATTATTTCGTCTATTAATGAGAAAGATTTTTTGGAAAGAGATGATATTTTAGAGGATGTTCCATTAACTGCCGGATTAACTGTTCCTCCAAATACTCCAAATTTACTATTAAATAATTCATATATATCGGCTGTTAATTCTAAAATGATTTCAAAATCACCAAATACTCTTGTACCTCCAAATACACCAATTTCACCTGAAAACATTATGGTCCCTCCAAATACTCCAAATTCCAGTATTTCATCTGTATTTTATTCACCTTTGGCTCCTCCAAATACACCAAATACACCATTTTCTCCAATTTCTTCATCTTCCTATCATTCGGCTATTACTATTAATGGTTTATTATCTCCAACATCACCACCTTCTCCAATTACTGTACCTCCAAATACTCCAACTTCTCCATTTATATTTCAATCAATAATTAATAATATTAATAATAATAATAATAGTAATGATAATATTATGATGAATATTGGTTCTTCATTTAATATTAATAGTAACAACCGTAAATTTCCTAGAAAGAATTCTCGTGATAGGAATGTTACTATTGATTCCGTATTAGCTAATTCATTAAATAATTTATATTAAAAAATATTTAATGAATGATGACTAAAAAAATAATTATATATACTGTTTTGTGTGTATATATATATAAATAGTTTTTTTTTAAAAATAGATTGTATAGTTCTTTTTAAGTATTCCTTTTATGTGTGATTTTTTATTAATAAAATATATATATATATATATATATATATTTTTAAAAAAAAACGATAAATTATTATAAATTATTATAAATTATTATAAATTATTATAAATTGTCAAGTGTTCTGCAAAAATCCTCATAAATAAATAACGACTCAATAATTATATCATTCTAACATTCTAACCGCTTTTGCTGAATTTATATTAATTGCAGTAAAGTATTTTACTTTCATCATATTGGAATAGGGGAATTATATAAAGTACATGAAAGTATTTCATCATATTGGAATAGAAGTTATATAAAGTACATGAAAATACAATATGTATAACATCAACCATCCAAAAAGAATAACATTCGGTAAAATGTCATATAGATCTAGTGTATGGATTGTACGCTGTGTGGCGTTTATTTCTATGTATACATAATTTCAGTAAAATCAAATTTTTTTTTTTTTTTAAAAAAAAAAAAAATATTTATATATATTCGGCGAAATAATTCAAAAATCTTCTAATCATATATTTTAACAGGTACTACTTTTTTTACAATGTAGAAGAAATTATAGAGGTAAAATGACATTAATATTTCAACGAATTATGACATTTACTGTATATTATTTTCATTCAAAATTGGTACAAATTATTACACGACTTTATGTTGCAACTAAGAAATGTTCGATCTATCAGATCTCACACAAATCACGAGAATCAAGGTAAAAAAAAAACAACAGATTCAGACAAACAAACAAATCTAACATTAAGATATAACAAATCAATCAAACGAAATTGGCATGCATGACGGGTGCAACTCATTTAAAATGATCACATAATTTTCGAAAGAATTTTCGAATAATTAAGAAAAATTATACTGCAAAATAACAAATATTTTAAGAGGCGCTCCAGTAATTAAATAAATATAATTAAATAAATGATAATCTTGAAGTTTTAATCTAATTTTAGTTCTTTTTTTAACATAATGTTAAATTTTATTATTTTATTTCATGACTTTGATACTTTCGCGTTATAAAAAAAAATTGGTTTGAATAATCACATAATAAATATATTTTATCCCATATTTTTACGTATGTATACCGCATCATGTCATATCGTGTCTTGCATATAAAATATTGATTACCATATAATCGGTGTATCAAATTCGAAAAAAACAATTAATTATAATTAAAGCTAAAATTAAACTATAAAATATGACGCACACATATATTATTATTTATATATATATATATTAATTATTAATTATTATTATTTTATATATACTGTATATATATATTATAAATGGTTAATTATTATTCGAAAATCATATGTAAGTTGAAAAAATTGATTCTCATTAGCTAATTAAAATATTAAATATTTTTACGAAGTAAGAATTTTAAGTTTCAATTTATATTTTAAAAATATTTAATGGTGTGAAAGAATTTCATCCAATCAAATTAAAACAAATGACGCGCCAAGAACAATGGATCAGCAATGTGCCGTTAAAAAAAAAATAAAAAAAATAGATATTACTTTTACTGGTCTTAAACCAGAATGCCCGGGAAATGACCTTCGACTTTCGATTGTAAATCTCATCAATTATTTCCTTTGCATGATATTATGGATACATACCACTGAGAACATCTGATATATACTATCATTATAATCTTGTGAATTTTAATAACACCACCTCCGGTTAATTAAAAAAAAGTAGCATGCAGGGCAAAAAAAAAAAAAAAATTTAGTATTTCGATATCTGATATGTGTAATGTCACACCATTTTCCCTAATGTAAGATATTCTAAGAACTTTTTTTTTTAAAAAAACTTGTTTCTAGATTCATAATAGACTAAACAGGAATAAGTGTGAATGAGCAAATGATAAATTATAACTTGTATTAATTCTTGTTTAATAATAGGCTTTTTATTTATATAATTTAAATTTACATAAACACTGTATGCAAGTCAATAATCCACTCGTATTAATTACCGCAGTCATTGTTATTTTTAATATTATTATTATATAGTTATTTAATTAAAAATCAAATTTGAAATCAATTGATAAAATGTGAAGTGGAGAAAAATCTGCGGGGAACAAAAAAGACGCGTGATTTCTTTTTCCTTTCTTACACATGGAATTTCTACAATCATCTTATACAAAGGATATAACGGTTATATGATTATATATAACTTATTTACATATGCTTCGTTATTTCGTAATTTTTTTTTATTTCTTTTTTGGGATTTTAAGGACGAATTACAAATCGCATGCATTTGTTTTTCTTATGACTAGAAAAAAGAGGCGCAAGATTCGTTACCGATTTTTTTTTCTTTGACAATATAATGACAATATAAGAATATTATATCAATAAATTCTAATTATGGCTTGTATTTAAAGAATAAACACATTGTAAAATTTACAATTTGAGAAAGAAAAAAAAAAAAAAAAAAAAAATTTCTTCTTCATGCAGAATGCAAACGCAAATATATCTTAAAAGTAAACATTGTCAGTCATTTGACTTCCCAATGATAAGCACGAATAAAGTAAAACTGGGCTGGGTGAAGTTCACTCGGATTGATTTTTAGAAAATTCAATGTACTTCTGTTTAACTATGCTAACAACAAATAGATTTGAAAAAGAATGATAACTAAATACATGACGTCACACAATATTATTTTTTCGNAACAAATTTTTTTTTTTTTTTTTTTTGTGGAATAACAAGTAAAAAGAAGCTAGTAAAGGGGGGAGGGTGTTTGAATTAAGGTAACTGGATGTAACAGTTAATGTAATGAGAATTTGTTCAGCTTTGCATAAAAAGGTTCCTTTTTTTTTTAAAAGACTTGTTTTTCTCGTTGCGAAGTCGAGCGTGCTTTCAGGGGTGAAGTGGTAACGTTTTGACACTTCACGCTCTTGTTCCGCTTACCGCTTTGTACTCTTTGTTTTATCGAGCTTTATTTTTTTTAATCTTTTCGTTTATTATTATTTCATTGATTTTTATTTTTTATTTTTATTTTTTTTGATTTTATTTATCTACAATTTATCTTTTTTTTTTTTACATATCAACTAAAATTTCTCACTCACTTTATTTTTTTTTTAATTTTTGGAAATAACTTTTCCAAAGAAAAAGAAAAAAAAAATATAAAGTCCAACGGTTTATTATAGATTTGAAAGTGTTTTGAAAACACATTATTTATTATATCGTGTTTTCAACCTTTCTTCTTTCTTCATCTTTACATCTCTTTTTTAGAACAAATTTTTTCAAAAAAAAAAAAAATTGCCTTATTAATTTTTTGTTTGCCTTTAAATTCTTTACATCTTCTCTCTTTTTAAGATTATATTTTACGTTTTGTTGAATAAATTATTTATATAATTATATACAAAATGGGGGATGACATAGAGTTCTCTTTCGACGAAACGTTCGAAGTCGATTCTGATCATGCAATTTCCAGGTCAAACTCTTTTAAACTTAAAAAAGCTGATAGTCAACGAAGAAAAGAGAAACGACGTTCAAAGGTATGATGTCCTTACCTTTTTTTCTTTTCCATTATAATTATCATTATCACCCAAAACTAAAAAGAAGTGAGTGATACATTATTATATTATTTATTATCTAATTTGATTCATTTCCTTTTTAGCTTTGGTATGAAAAGACTACTAATTCTGCCGCTCAGAGCGACAGTGAAGCTAGTAATGGCGCGCAAGAAACAATTCCAACAGCCATTGTTATAAAAAATATTCCATTCTCCATAAAACGAGATGCATTATTAGCTACTCTTGTAAGTTTAAAGATATTTGAATCAATAAAAAATGATTTACTATCATTTATATCGATTCGAAAAAAAAAAAAAAAATTTTTTTTTCGGATCAAATTCATGAAAATTTCCGATCCAATAAAAATTCTTATTTCAAAAACTCACATACATATTTCGTTAGAATACCCTCGATATACCTAAACCATATGCGTTTAATTACCATTTCGATAATGGTGTTTTTAGAGGATTAGCTTTTGCTAATTACCGAACGCCAGAAGATACAGATCTTGTGGTATCCGCATTAAATGGTTATGAGGTTGCTGGTAGAAAACTTAGAGTTGAATATAAACGTGTTTTACCAGCTGCAGAAAGAGAAGCTAAAGAAAGAGAAAAGTTAGAAAAACAAAAAGCTGATAAAGAGAAGGTTGATCAAGAACCGCTATTGATTAAAACCGACAATGATTTTCTCGATAAACCAAAAATAGATAAAAGCGATAATGGAAGGAACGACAAAGAAAAAAGAGATTCTACGATAAAGAGTCCTGGTAAATCTTTTATTATGAACATGATAAAATAATATTATTTAATTACTTATAAAGGTTTTTATTTATATTTATTAGCACCAGATCAACTTGATCTTAATGATCCAGAAACACTAAAATTCTATGATCAAGTAATCATCTTTCGTGATGACAAATCACGTGAAGAATTGGTATTTTCAAAAACTCTCTCAAGTGCGCATCGACGTACATTACAATTAATTGCTCAAAAACTTCAATTATATTATTACAATGAGGGTGATGGTGAAGATAAAGTTTTGAGAATTGTTCGCAAACCAGCATCTGCAGCTATAAACATAAAGGTTTATTTTTTTTTCAATATTTTATATTGTCATCTTTTTATATATTTTTTAATATTATTAACAATTAAAAATAATTCTTTTGATTTAGCAGACACCTAGAAATGGTTCATTTGGTAAACGTGCGGCTGCGCAATTATTAGCAAGCTCAGGTTTATCAGAAAGTCCTTCAAATAGATCTATAAGAGGTGATGCTTCCCCACTGTCGCGATCACCTTTTAGAAGATCATGGCTGTAAGTTAACAGATTGATCTTTTTTTATACAAATGTTTTATATTTAGAATTATGAATTAACAAATGATTAAATTTTAGCAATGACGGTGGTACAATAGTATTTCCGATTAGACAACCTAGAGGACCAGATCCCTCTCAGAATTTTGCTTATCGTCCAACTCGACTACACGCATCTGCCATTCCGTTTGCCGTAACAGATGATGATGTATCGACGACAAATTTTACTGAGCATACTGAGAATAGGTCCGGATTATTTGATGTGCATGCACCCCCTTTCCAATCGATTGCATCATAGTTGTATAAAACAATCTTTTGAAATGACACGACTTGTTATTAAAGATATTATAACTAATGTCAATTATATTGGAAATTAAAAACTGTATGCATATTAATATTATTATTCTTTTTAGCACACAATTGTTATGACTTAACTTATGTTTGCAATGAATTATTTTATTTTATTTTTTTTTTTTATTTTTCTCTTATTTCATCTCTTTTTTTTTTTTTATTTACAGTTTACAGTTTTGATTTTCTATTAGAATGTTTACATATTATTAAGTTTATATATTTCTTTTCTTATACATCACCCTGTTTTTTCAATTGTACTAATTGTACTTTGTAGTTTTAACATATATATCAAATACATAGACATATTTTTCTGAGATTTAGGTTAAAAGGAACGAAGAAATAATTATATTATTTCCGATCTCTCTATGGGAAATAATTGTATTATTATAATAACAGACATTTCCTAATAATTTTAAAAATAAATTCTTCATTTCATGTTTTTTTTTTCAATACTTTTTTATTTAAAAATATATTATTTTTTTACAATTTTTTATGTTTTTTTTT